TGAAGAGGAAGGGCAGGCAGCTTTTGAGCTCCAAAATTAACATAAGGAGATGTGGCCGAGCGTGCTGAGCAGCCGGAGTCCCCGTGAGAAACAGCCAAGCCCTGTGCAATAACTTTGTTAGGATCCCTGGGTGCAGCCAACTGAGAATATGGGGCCTCTCACTGAAGTCACTTCGGTTTTTTGTGATCTGGTGAAATCTGGTCGAGCTCTGTTTGCTTTGTGCTGCACTGGGAATGCAGGGGCTCCCTCCTGGATTGCTCTGGCAGCAGTCCTGCTCTGTCCCAGCAAGGGACTTGATGTGAATGGTTTAAGATACCTGTGGGCTTCAAAATCAAATAAAATGCAAAATACGAAACTAATCGTAATGACTGCACTCACTTTCGTCTCTGTTACTTCCTGCTCTAGAAATGGATTCTGAAGCCCTTAAAAAATACTCAGCATTACATCCTAAACCTGCTGGACTTACTCTTCAATATGGCACTGCTGGGTTTCGCACCAAAGCTGATCAGCTTGATCATGTCATGTTCCGCATGGGCCTGCTGGCAGTTCTCAGGTCCAAAGCTGTGGTTTCTACTATTGGCATCATGGTTACAGCATCTCACAATCCTGAAGTAAGAACAACATTTTCTTTAGAAGTGAAGTAGATCTTACCTGTCTGGTGGAACCAAAACTCTTCATGCTACTGAGAGACCAGACCCTGAAGGTGCTTGGACATGCTTAAAACATGTGGTTAGCCTGCTCCCTGTAATGATCTCCAGCATGTTTGAAGTTACTTTTCCTGGTATACACAAGTGTAATTTTCTCTCGTGGAAATGCTATAAGGTAGGGAATCCGTAATGTTGACAAGCCTGGAGTACCCTTGAGAAGAGATGAATCTTTGAGCAAAATTTGCAAGTTTAAAAAGTAGAGAGGCAGCAGTTAGGAACCAAGTGTTTAGACTTCTGCTGCTGTGGAGCATTCCAGGTCTTTAGAATCTCCCCTTGTGCCATTTTAATGTAAAGTGAATTTCATACCATAATAATAAGAGGGGGGAAAAGGATTAAATAAACAGCTAAGCTATTGCTTCCCAGAAATGCTCCACATTTTAAAGAAGCAGTGTGATTGAACCATGTTTTGGCTGTCTTCAAAGAGATTTTGTTAAGTTTCCCACTTTTACTATCTTTTGTTCTTTTTTTCTTCTAAGGAAGATAATGGTGTAAAGCTGGTTGATCCTCTTGGAGAAATGCTGCACCCTTCCTGGGAAGAGTATGCCACACAACTAGCGAATGCAGAGGAGCAAGAATTACAGAAAATAATAACTGAGATCTGCCAAAAAGCAGCAGTGAACCAGCACAAAGAAGCTTTAGTTTTTATTGGTAGAGACACCAGGTAATTGCAGAATGTTGTAGATCTAGGCTGCCAGCATTTTGTTTGTGGGTGCTTTTGGATGTTTAGCCCTCCACAGCCAGACCATGCTTTTTTTTTTTTAATACGTAGTCTGCTACCTTTAAATTTATGATAATAGCAAGAAACAAAAGTTTTCTGGTGATGTTCCTGTATTAGCTTCCCTGATAGTTATGAAAACTTCCTAGGACTGTTTCTGAACTGGATGCTTTATTGTAGACTTGTTGACTATTGTTTTTTTTGTCCGTACTGTGTGACGTCTGCGTGTGTTCAGGATTTTACTTGTCTTTGCAATTCTCTGGGGTGGTGGCTTGCAAACTTCTTTATTGGAAGGCACCTACAGTAGAAAAAGGTATGGGTTTCTTCCTGTTGGATCTAAGTCTACTGGCAGGAAGCGTGTAGAGTCTTTATCCACGTATGCTTCCTCGCCAAGTCCGTATGCAAATGTCTTCTGCAAAGATTGTCTTTTGTATTTGTTGTTTTCCAGGCCAAGCAGCGAGAAACTTACACAGTCGGTAATAGATGGTATCTCTGTTCTAGGTGGTCAGTACCATGGTATGTTGTTAAACTTTTGCAATTCTAGTCCTCTAGTCTGATATCAAGTTTTTTATGTGAATGTGACTCCATTATGTAGATGTGAAGCAGTAGCCCAGATACCATTTTCATTTTTGCTTCTAACGATCTTCTTTCAGGGCAGTTGTATGGCTTTAATGCAAGGTGGGGTTAAACACAGCAGTGGTGTTTTACAAATCGCTTGTGGTGGTGCAGACCCCTTCCACCTCACCTTCTAGGCAGCGTTGCGATTTTGGCACTTGCCATTGCCTTATTGTTTAATTACAAAATGCAGTGGGCATTTTGCTTGAATTGCAGCTAGATGATTGAAATTAGATGATTGAAATTAGATGATCCTTAAAGTCCTTAGGGAGGTTGGAGTAAATGATCTCTAAAGCCCCTTCCAACCTAGGCCATTCTATGATTCTATGATTCTTTCCAGCCCAAACCATTCTATGATAACAGATCTGGAAAAAATTCATATGGGTTTCCTGTACTGCATTTTCCTTTTTATTGTAGAATAGCAAATACTGTACAACTTTTAAGGGGGAATTAATTTACCATTCTTTTTCTGAATATTCTAACTTTTATTTTATGCTAGATTATGGCCTGGTAACAACTCCACAGCTGCATTACATGGTTTGCTGTCAAAACACCCAAGGGCAGTATGGGAAAGCAACACTGGAAGGTTATTATGAAAAACTATCTAAAGCTTTCACGGAACTGATAAAACAGGTGAATACTGGGTGTCATCTTTGTCATACAAATTTACAAAATTAGTGTCTTCTGTTTGTTAGCCTGTTTGGGTCTCAAGTTTCAAATTTAGTACGTCTCTAGATGTGGTTTCACAAGGGTATAAGTTCACTTTGCCTCTTCTTTCCTTGTGCTAAGTCTCCCAGCTCTGGAGAGAGTCAGAGGCACCTGAAGGTTGACTGTGCCAATGGAATAGGAGCCCTGAAACTATCAGAAATGGAGCCCTACTTTCCAAAGGAGATGCTAATTCACCTATATAATAATGGAACCAAGGAGAAGCTCAATCACTTATGTGGTGCAGATTTTGTGAAAGTTCACCAGAAACCACCTAGAGGTATGTAATCAGTAATTTTTTACCCTCTCCAGATCTGAAGGCGCAGGGTGTAGCAGTGGTGCGTGATCTTCATGTGAGCCAAGCTCCCTGTCTCTTGCTAAGTGACTGCATGAATGGTTCTGCTTGTGCAGTGGAAAGAAAGAATCACACAGCTGGGTTTGTCATGTCCCTAGTTTATGTTAGTTTAAATTGATTGGAGGAGTATGGTAAGACTCCGTACTGGTTGAAATACATTTGACAATCTGGTCTGAACGTGAAGCTGATGGAGTTCAAAGATCAGTCAGGCCTGACCTACTGTTATTTACTTTACTTCCCTTTGTGTTATCAAGAAACATTTACGTTGTGGGCTGGGGTTGCAGACACTTTTCCAGGTTCCTGAGGAAGAGCTGCGATACTTAACATCTTGGTGCCAGCAGGCTTACTGATATCAGACAGCGAGGAAATGGTTTCAACCAGTTTCCTGCCAAGTGCATTAAAGAAAATCTCTGAGCTGGGCAAGCAGGCTCGTTTGGCTATTAGGTTATCTGAGGCTAAACTCGGTTCTACATTTGACAAATGCATCCTTGCTGCATCTGCTAGCCAAATCTGAAAACCAGGGTACAGTGTTGTTCCCCACTTGCCACGCTGCTTCTGTGCTGGAGAAATGCGGGAAGGGGAGCAGCAGTCCCTGCCAGAGATGGCTTCCTCTGTGTAATATCTGGATCTTGGCTTTAACTGGGAGTGAGGAGAGATTTCTTGGTCCTTTCCATGCAGGGATGTGCTCTGAAAAGAAAATGCAGTTTCCTAATCATTCATTGAAATAAATTATTTGATTTCTCTCAAGTCTTAAGCATGAACAGCTTCCTGTTTAAAGTCATACAGAGCCTCAGCCTGATAAATGTTGCAGTTGCCATTTCCTCGTGCTTTAGCTTGAGGACCTCAGTGACAGTGGAACATATGGTCCTGTGTTGCTGTAGGCATGCAGGAGAAGAAACAGCATGTTTTGGGGTATAATTTCCTTTGCACTGAAGGATGAGGTGTCAGCAACATGTGCCAGTTGTCCTGTCTGCTTGTGTACTAAAATGCTTTTTCCCAAGAAAGGGTTACAGGATGCAACATGTCCTTTGGAGCTCCCTGTTGAGTTCCTGATGGACTTTGAAATCAGCCTAGGGAATGGCCAGCTGCAGTTTCTGAGAAACAGACTCTAAGGTTAGTGTGGCTGGCACCTTAAAGAAAAGCAAGATGTACCTTACTAAAAGAACAGTTCATCTTTGTCTGGCATTGCTGTGTCAGGTCGTGACTGCTTCCTAGCTGTTTCTCTACTAGTATTAAGCCTGGAAAGTTTTCGGGGCAATTACTCCTTATACATTCTATACATTGTTATGTAAACTGAATATCAAGGAGACGAAATGTGAGGTGTTTTATAGCCACCAGATACGCTTTTGTGGTTTTTGGACAACTCTGAGAAATCTGGGTGATGTTTGTTTTGGAAGGGAGTGTTTTTTCAACGGTAGGATTTACGTGCCACCTCCTGTTGTAATTAGCATTTCAACGATGACTTTGCTGACATGGGGATGCATGCTTGTCTTACAGTAGGAAAGCACCTCTCCTGTGTGAAAGAAAACAAAGGAGAGATTCAAGTCTGTCAGGTGGGAGTGGAATAAAATTCAACAGACTTGAAATATTTTCTTAAGAAAAGCACTTTTGATGCAGGAGAAAAATAGTTAATTCCCGTGTGTATTGGAGGGTGAAGTACGTAGTAGCATTATAGCAAGAGTGTACAGTGGACCTGCCATGTGTTAGGAAATACAGGTGACAGGGCTCTGGAGCCCTGCTCTGCCTAACTGTGGCTTGCCCTCAGGCCCAGGCGTGCATAGTGTGCCACGGCCCCCCTCAAAGAAGCAGTCAGGGAAGGCTGGGCAAGTGCCCTGTGTCCAGCTGAGGTCAGCCAGTGCCACTCACTGCCTCGAGCTCTTCTCTGGCTGTCTGCACACACCGACTTGCTCCGCTTCACAGCGGGGGGAAGCGATTCACCTCAGTCTCTGAGTGACTCTGTTGTCTGTGGTGACTAAGTGCATGAGAAAAGGATTTTAACTTTATGCTATATTTGACATTAAGCCCTTATTTCCAAAATTTAGAGATGTGACTACACACGGACTGATCTTCATACACATCTGGGGAGAAGACATAGTGTTAAAATATTTAGAGAACCTGCATTTTTGATACTAGTATTTAGGATGGGAATATGCACTTTTCAGTTGCCATTCAATACAGCTTCCCTGTTGCAAGTCTCCTTAGTGAAGGCAAAGTCTGTTTCGGAGCATTGGTTTTATGCTTGTGTGTGTGTGTGCCTGCACAGAGCTAATTTCTGCATGAGATCCACACTTGAACTAATTTAGACATTTTTTATCTTTTTATATCTCTAACTTGCATGTGTAACTCTGTGTGCACTAGGGCTAGACATGAAGCCCAGTGAGAGATGCTGCTCATTTGATGGCGATGCAGATAGAATTGTTTATTACTATAAGGATGCAGCTGGCCATTTTCACCTAATCGATGGAGATAAAATAGCAACTTTAATTAGTATCTTCCTTAAAGAACTTCTTGCCAAGGTAACTCCAGCGTATGAAATGAATGCTGACACTTTAACTTGTAACATGTAAAATAGTCTACGGAAGCCGTGTTAGTTTGTATATCTGTGGTCTTTCTACATCTACATGAAGTGAACCTGGTTTAAAAAGAGATCAGTCGTGTACCTCGTTGGTATGACCAGAATGTTGTTTTCACAAGAGTGTGATTTCCACACTCCAAATAAAAATCTGAGCACTGATATTTTAAGCCAGAATGTTTTCTTAGTGGGAGAAAACCAATTTCAATGTACAGGGTATTGATATTCCATTATCTTTGTTTCAATGTCTTTCTTTAATTTTTCATTACTTTTGGGTTCACTCAGCTCTGTGGAGGTTCGACATTCCATTTGCAAGAGAACTTGGTTGTGGCTGTCAAGGGGTTTTGTATGTCATCATTTCAAAACCACTATCTGCTCCATATCATCCTCTTCCTATAAGGGAGAGAGAGAAAAAGCTTTTCTTTTTCAGAAGTCCTCTTAGACCTGGTATCTATGATACTAAACCTAGATCCATTTTTTTTTCTTAGAGGCCAGCTCTATTCTCACATGGTGGCAGGGAAGCTGACCAAGTGAGAACAGCTCGTGCTTGCCACCAGCCTTTGCTTGCTTTGCACTGGAAGCCTTGACTTCACTGCTTGTGTATATGGCCTCAGGTCATGCCAGTGCACTGAGTGTGCTGAATTGGAAAAAGGGATTTGGAAAGCCTAAGCTTGGAGAGCTGCTTCAAGTCAGCCACAAAAAGAAAAAGTGATATACAAAGATTTGAACAGAATTCATGTGATCTTAAATATAGAAGTTGTCTGTGACCTGGTGCCTTCCTCTGATGCGTGGGAGTTTTAGGTGTCTGTAGGATAATCTATGTTTAATAATTCTGATTATCCTTCCATTTATCCTACTCATCTGACTATGTGCCTATGGGGCAGTAAAGTACTTATTGGTTTTCTCAGGTGGGACACACCTTAAAGATGGCTGTGGTACAAACAGCATATGCCAATGGGAGTTCGACACGCTACCTCGAGGAAACACTGAAGGTATTCTTCATTTTGTTCCTGGTAGTTTTCTACAAATGTTGTTCACTGCAAATTTCTTTACTTTTAAAGTAAATGCTACTGTAATGTGATGGCTGGGAACACTTAAACTAGGCTAAAATAAATAACTCTTTCAAACCTGCAGCAGCAACTAAGTTCTTGGTGGTAAAGGAGACGCAAGAGAGCAAAACTGAAAAGGTTCTAGGCAGCTTTCTCTAGTTTAAAAAAAAACTGCAAAAACTGAACAATATCCCTTGTTATTTCTGGAACAAGTTGAAGACTTTATGGCTTTGCAACGAAGTGAGTAGGTAAAGACTCCTAGGACAAGCAGAAATGGGTTTAAGTTGAAGGAGAATAGATTTAGATTAGATCTTAGGAAGAAATTCTTCAGTACGAGGGCGGCAAGACTTTGGAATAAATTGCCCAGAGATGTTGTGGCTGCCCCCTCCCTGGAGGTGTTCAAGGCCAAGTTGGACGGAGCCTTGAGTAGCCTGATCTAGTTGAGAGGCGTCCCTGCCCATGACAGGGAGGTTGGACTAGATGATCTCTAAGGTCCCTTCCAGCCTAGGCCATTCTATGATTCTGTGATACTTTGACACTGGTCATTTCATACACTGCAATAGGAAATGCTCACTACAGAATGTATTAGTTCAGTTTGAATAGAAATTGGGTATGTTGCTGGAAACCATAAAATGAATAGGGTTTTTTTTTGGTTTGGTGTTTTGCTTACTTATTATTTAAAAAAAAAAAAAGTCAGACTCTAATTTCCACTTGAATAAATAAAATATTCTTTTTAATCAGGTGTGCGGAAATAGTAGATAACTTTAGCTCTGGGGAGTCAGTAGTTGTGAAACAGAGGTTGGTTGCAGTGGTCTGCCTGGGCTGGTGCTTGGTTCCTGGCCCTTCACCTGCAGCTCCTGTCTACTGAGGAGAGTCCCTAACACTCATTACTTCTCTATATGCCCTTGGGCTGCAGGTACCTGTGCACTGTGTCAAGACAGGAGTGAAACACTTGCATCACAAGGCCCAGGAGTTTGATGTTGGTGTTTATTTTGAGGCAAATGGACATGGTACAGTAAGTATAAGCATGCAGTGCATATGATCAATCAATATGTACAAAATTTTAATTGGATTAGTTTTTTTCACTCTGTGTTTACATTTATGAACAAGATTTTTTTCTTCTTGTTTGAGAACAGACTTGTTTTCCCCTTCTGTATTTATCGTAGCATTGTCACCAAGTCCTTTGTGTTTTGTGTGAGGATTGAAATTCATGGTAGCAAATGTTAATGATGTTTTTTGGGGCTTAAATGGTAAAAATCTTGTCATCATTGCTGCACATATCCTAGTTCATGATGTGGGCTGATCTTGACAAGCTCTCTTCTTTTTATTGTAGGTATTATTTAGTAAAGCTGCTGAAACTAAAATAAGACAACTGGCAAAAGAGGAGAAAGATGATGAAAAAAGAAAAGCAGCAAAGGTGCTAGAAAACATGATTGACCTGATAAATCAGGTAAAAACTGAGAGAAACAAATCATTGTATTGACAGTCGTGGGGCTAACCCTGTTTGTGAGTACCTGTCAGGCTACTGCTGGAGCAGGCAGTAGGGTGCCATGGTAGAAGGGGCCAGGAAAAGAGGGCAGGAACAGTCATGTTTAGAAAGATGTAATGTTTTTTCATGAGTGGATGCAGAATGCTTTCAGGTGGTGCAGTCGTCTGGTGTCAGGACTGAAAGAGGGAGTGGGATACCAGGGGAACTTAGCAATAGGATGCAGCTTGCTCATAGTTCAACAGCAAATTGAATCTTTGAGCATCCTTCACCTGACATTTTTCACTAACTTACGCTGCTGTACGGGAGGATGGGGGTGTTCCAGTGCCCATGTCCACCCAGCCCTGGGGCTCCTTGCCTTTGCACAGATGTTAGTTGTCTGAGCTGGTGCCAAATCGCACTTGACAGGCCAGCTTTAAGCATCTTGACCCCAGAACAAAGGAGAGGTGCTAGTCTTCCTCAGGAGAGGGGAGGACTAGCGCTTGCCCTTGGCAGAGCTGTACAAGTATCTGCTGTTCTCCTTACTACAGGGTCAGTGTAGTAAGGAGGAAGATACCAAAGCAACAATGGGACTGAGATGAGTCAGCCTGGCTACGTTGTCACTCTCTCCAGCTGGAAGTGTATTGAGCAAATCATGGCTTTGTTCCTTCCCTGTTAGACTGCTCAAGTGTTTCTTCTTTTCTTGTTAACAGACGGTTGGTGATGCCATCTCAGACATGTTGGTTATTGAAGCAATCCTGGCTTTGAAAGGTCTGACAGTGCAACAGTGGGACGCCTTCTACACCGACCTTCCAAATCGACTGCTCAAAGTTCAGGTGAGTGACACACCATAGAATCATAGAATGCATTGGGTTGGAAGAGACCATTAAAGGTCATCTGATCCAACCTCCCTGCAGTGAGCAGGGACGTCTTTAACTTGATCAGGTTAATCAGAGCTCCATTCAGCCTGACCCTGAATGCCTCCAGAGATAGGGTCTCCACCACCTCTCTGGGCAACCAGTTCCAGTGTTTCACCATGTTCACAGAAAAGAACTTCTTCCTAACGTTTAATCTAAATCTACCGTCCTCTAATTTAAAACTATTGCCCCTCATCCTATCACCACATGGCCTTAGTCCCTCCCCAGCTTTCCTGTAGGCCCCCTTCAGGGACTGGAAGGCCACTGTAAGGTATCCTTAGAGCCTTCTCTTCTCCAAGATGAACAGCCCCAACTCTCTCAGCCTGTCTTCGTAGGAGAGGTGCTCCAGCCCTCTGATCATTTTTGTGGCCTCCTCTGGCCCTGCTCCAACAGGTCTATGTCCTTCTTGTCTTGGGGGCTCCAGAGCTGGATGCAGTACTGCAGGTGAGGTCTTACCAGAGTAGAGGGGCAGATGCAGCCTCTCTTTGATCATCTCTTTGATGCAGCCCAGGATGTGATTTGCCTTCTGGGCTGTGAGTGCACATTGTTGGCTCAACCATGCTGCCTCAGGTTACAGCAGTCTTGTGGGACCTTGCTGTGAGGATCTCTTTCTGCATGTATATAGATAAGCTTGATTTTAAAACTGAAACAGCCCACTGAAGAGCAGATGTAGGCCAAACAAGCCAGAGGAGGGACCAGAATTTCTCTTGGATTAAAATAAAAATATGACTTATATAAATGACAAAACAATAGCCACCTATGTTAAATGGAAAAACTTGACCAAAACTGTTTGAATTTTAACTTAGAATTCCTTCCTTAACTTCCAAAGTAGAAAAAAAATCCTATTTTTCTACAGCCTCTCTTGGGTAGCTGGATTTTTCTTGCTGTGCCACTTGGTATGACTTGAATATTCAAGCTCTTACTTCTTTGTCTTCTCCAGTATTCAGACACAGAGCTTGAGCAGAACAGGCTCCCACATGGTGGCATTCTATTAGGTGCAGGAAGAGCCTCTGGTCTCTAAGGAGTTTCATAGAATTATAGAATTGTCAGGGTTGGAAGGGACTTTAAAGAATATCTAGTTCCAACCCCCCGCCATGGGCAGGGACATCCCCCACTAGATCAGGCTGCTCAGAGCCCCATCCAGCCTGGCCTTAAAAACTTTCAGGGATGGGGCTTCCACCACCTCTCTGGGCAACCTGTGCCAGTGTCTCACCACCCTCATGGGGAAGAACTTCCTAACGTTCAATCATCTGAACCGACCCATCTCTAGCATTAATCCATTCCCTCTAGTCCTATCAGTATCTGACATCCTAAAAAGCCCCTCACCAGCTTTCTTGTAGGTGCCCTTGAGATACTGGAAGGCCACAATAAGGTCTCCTCAGAGCCTTCTTTTCTGCAGACTGAACAACCCCAACTCTCTCAGTCTGTCTTCACAGGAGAGGTGCTCCAGCCCTCTGATCATCCTCGTGGCCCTTCTCTGGACACGCTCCAGCACGTCCAGATCTTTCTTGTGCTGTGGCTCCAGAACTGGATGGCGCTCCATGGGGTCTCAGGAGAGTGGAGGGGGAGAATCACCTCCCTTGACCCGCTGGCCACGCACCTCTTGATGCAGTTTAACCTTTCTGATCCACTGGGAGAAGCTGCGGCTTCAGGTGAAGCTCACCAAGGAGGCGTGTGCAGAACCGACCTTCTTTGCAAACCAGGCAGCTGAGTCTGATCATGACTTGGTTACTATGTGCCGACCAGGGATCCCAGGGATCCCAAAATGTTTGAGTTAAGCAGGGAACTCCCAAACTGAGCTTGTAATAGGCAGTGCAACCATAGAATCATGGAACTGAATCATAGAATTGTCAGGATTGGAAGGGACCTTAAAGATCATCTAGTTCCAACCACCCTGCCATGGGGGGGTTGCAACCATCAAAACCTGTGACCTTTTTTGGCCTCATCACACAGTTCCAGCACACAAATAATTTGACTTTTTTTCAATGCTGCAGGTTGCAGACAGGCGGGTTATTGACACAATGGATGCAGAAAGGCGTGCAGTTACACCTCCGGGGCTACAGGAGAAAATTGATGCACTTGTAAAGAAGTACAAATTGTCACGAGCGTTTGTCCGCCCATCAGGAACAGAAGATGTAGTTAGAATATACGCTGAAGCAGACACACAGGTCAGAGCTTAAACAACTTGTGTATGAAGTGGATTTGTTTAACTATCTTCTGCTAGCAGTGGGTGATGGAGGAAGTCTGTTTACATACCTGTCATTTAATCACACCTAACAGGTGCTAGATTCGGGGAGAAGAAAGTAGTGATCACAGAAAGTCTCTTTGGATTTTCTTTTATTTGTTACAGTGATGTTTTATCTTTTCAATGTTCATCTTTAAATGTAAAATATTTATAAAGGCACATTTGATACTAGATGATGCTGTAAAGTAAAACAGTCCTCCAAGTCCTCAGGGTTAAGAAGGAAGTTACCAAAGCAGCTCGTAACTGCATGATTTCATAAGAGGTAAAATAAAAAAAAAAAAATAATTTGGCTGCTGTTAAGTATTAGCGCATGTGTAAATGTAAGGTGAAGAGCAAAAGCAGCAGTCCTGCTCTCCCCCCTTCTCATGCTCCTGCCCACTTCCTTCTGCCAGCATGACCACAGTGGCAGAAGGCACCTCAGGATGAGAAGGCAAGCCTAGGGAACACAGCGTTTGCAGGAAAACACTTGCCTTAACAGCAGGTATTTGTTCTCACCTTCTCATGTCGACACCACTGCGACTAACTTCTGAAATGTTCCACAGGAGAATGCAGATGCCCTCGCCCACGAAGTCAGCCTGGCTGTTTACCACCTTGCTGGTGGAAAAGGAGCACCACCCCAGCCTATGTAACAAATGGTACAACTGCAGTTACTGCTCGTACCTTGACTTATTTTTTTTTATACTATTTTCTTTGCCATTTGCTGACATGGACATAACCCTTCTTGAGAGTAGCAAGGATTAATCAGAATTGAGCAGAATATTGTTTCACTGCTGCTTTACCTCTGTTAGCAACTTCTTAATGAGAAGCTCTTGCTGCTGAATCTTCACCCCGCTTCTGCAAGTTTGCCTGACTTCTGAAGCTGAGGTGGCTTAGAGGTGACTCACATTTTCAGAGTCAGTGCCCAGGTCATGCCCAGAAGGAATTCCGCCCTGCCCCCAGCTTTTTGCATTGGTTATTGTCACCTTGTGCCCCAAGTCCAACTCCCTCCACCCTCAGCGCACCTGTGGCAGCAGCATCTGATGGGCTCTTTTGTGACTGAGCTCGTGGCAGCGAGAAATCATCCCAGCAGAGACGTCATCCCACCTTTCCCCTACAACCACAGCCTGTGTGTGCAAACAGCAGAAGGCAGAGGCTGGCACTGGCCTTGAGATTCAGCTGGCCTCAGTTCAAGGGGGAAACAATATAATGGAAAAGTGCATTTGCAAATAATAATAATGTATTATTGCAATAATCTCTTCACTGGATACTTTTATGAAAGTATTACTTAGAAAGCAATTTGCAGCACTGGAATTTAGAATCACTTTTAAGAGGGAGGGGACAGAGACAAGTTTGTCTTCTGTGGCTCTTATGACTCCCCAGCAGCATGAAGGGGCAGGACCAATGGGCCATAATGTTTTAAATACACAAATATCCTCCTCTGCATATTTCAGCTCAGGGTATCTACCTCTGACAAACATATTTTTCATTGTAGTCCTCTAGTAACTCCCTGCATAACAGCATTTTCCAGATTGTTAAATAAGCACAACTTCAACTGGACAAAAAACCAAAAAAGACAAAAATAAACTGGAAACAAATTGAGAAAATGTGCACCTTGTATTTGTTTTAGGCTTTTTTTAAAGACAGAACTCAAGACAACAAAACATGTACTGTAAAGAGTAGGCACCATAATCAATATGAGCCACCAATATTTAAAGTTGATTCAGGCCACATCCAGAACTTTTATTTACAAATATTTAACTTAAATACAACAATAAGTATTTCATTACATACAAAGTAAGAAAAGAATACTATACAACTGGGAAAGATACATTTTTTTATTTAAATAGTTACACTACATATAAGCTGAGCAGTATCAGTTTGGTTCATGTTTTTATGACGCCTTCAAGAAAATCCTTCTCAACCATTTCTTCTATCTTTTGTCTTGCTTTGCTGGAGAAGGTCTTGAGGTTCTCCATTTTTATGTCCTTATTCGGAAAACAGTTGGGATAAAGGACAGGGCTCCCTGAGTGTCCAACGCATCTGCTTGTGACTTTGCTGTTAAAAACTTGGCTGAGTACGTTGAAGAAAGGCAGAAGCTGCTCAATGCTGCGAACGGTGTAGATGGTTAAAAGCAAGTGACCTGGCTCCCAACTTAGTGTTTTCCCTGAGCTGTCCTCCTCTGGGTTTTTCTGTAAATAGAGATAAACGGGAAACAATACAGAGAAAGCACAGGTGAAAATAAAAGCCTAATGCCCAATAGAGTTTTTTTTCCATATTCCAAAAATATTTGTCCTAGCAACAAAATACACATATGCCGGAGTGCGACTTTCAAAGCAGCTCTCCTGCTCCTCCTCTCTCCATCCTGTGAAGCCCCAAAGCATGGCAGCCCCTGGCCTGGGCACCCACCGTGCTGCCCCTGCTGCAGCGTCCTGCTAGTGAACATCAACAGCCCAGGGCGGGCACAGCCAGCACCGCAGCTGCTCAGTGAGCTGTGTGCTATTTCAGCTGCTTCCCAAAGCAGGCTGGCCTCCGGTAACGTTCCCACATCACCCAACTGCTGGTGTTGGTGACAATAAGCCCCAAAGGAAGTTAAAATAGAAACAAAGCGTTTTCACTGTGGAGCTGGGGCTCAGAGTTTTCAGAAAGAGCAAAAGCAGCGCCGTTTTAAATATCTAAATAACACACATGGAGGCTCTGAGCAAACACTTGACTTTGTCTGCGAAGGAAAAGGGTTCAGTTACTCATTCTCTGAAGACCTCAGCTACACACCTTCTGTTTCACGGGGGGAATTTCAAGAGAGAATTTCAGGAACCCCCCCCCAGTGAAGGCAGCAGTCACACACCAGATGCTCACAGGCAGTGTCAGGACACAGCTGTAACCCCATTTAGGGTTGCCTTAAATATCTGCATACTAAAATACCTGAGCACTAACATCCAGCTGCTTATATGGCACTCTTCACTCATTCAATTTTTTTTTTTCCTTTGAGTCGAAAACCATTCAAGGCTAGACAGTAAGGTACTATCACCAACAGAAACACCTTGTCTGGATTGCTACTGACAAGCCAGTATGGGAGAGCTTCTACCACAAAGTGGTGTTCCAGCAATACTGTTTTTTCCCTGAGAGCAGAGAAAAAGAAGCAGAAAGGGCACAATGAGGAGCCACCTCTTGATCCACCTCTGACCAGCACCTCCCTCCTGCTGCCCTGGCAATGCCTTTGCCAAGGTGGGGAGTCCAAGACTCATGAAGGCTCCACAGCAGCTCCTGAAGAGTGGGCTCAGTCACCAAAGAAGCGTGAGGGGAGAGATCAGCAGTGGGAGCAGAGCCTAAGGTATGGATTGCTAGTTGCACAGCCTTGGAGAAAACAGGTTTTCTTCAAGAGATGATACTTCTGCAAATAGAGTTTTCGCCCTTTAAATGAAGCAACTACCCTGCAGTTCGGGAGCCTACATGGCACTCATATCATAAACCCCAGGTAGATTAAAATTAAATATGAACGCATTTAACTGGGTGCTCTGGCTCCCTGTCACAGAGGATCGCAGCTCTACCAGCCTCAAGAAAAGATAGGCTCATCATGAACTAGAACAAAGGGAAGTCTGAATTCCAACACAGAGTTGTTGATGCTTCCTACTTTTAACGAAGCTACAAGTTCTTCAAGCTTCTCCTTTAAAAACTTCACACAGAAGAGAGGCTTTTCAGTACTCCACCGTGCTGAGCATTACCCAGCGGTGAGCACAGGCCACCTCCAGCACACGGTGAGCGCCAGTGCCACACAGCAGCCAACCAAATGGGCTGCACGTGCAGATGCCATTTCTCCTTCAGCAACAAAACATAACCAGCCCGAGCCATTTCCTCATGGCAGCATCTGCTAAGTGAACACCTGTAATTCCTCAGATGCTTAGAACAACAGTTAATCTGGCAGAGGCTGATTAAGGGTTGTTTCACACCTGCCATTTGGCAAAAAATACCATATTTAATTTTGTGATGACTTGTGATCTTAATGCTTAGAACTAATGTTAATTTTTTGCAACTTATTTCATGTAGGAAACCAACTCAAAAATCAATTTTAAAATTTGCTATACGAATAAGGCCCCTCATGATTCTTTCACTTCAAAAATCTCTCAATTTGGTTTTCTAACAAGACTGATCTCTCTCAATTCTTACTGAATGCTAAATACTGCCCAAGGCCTTGAGGTGATGGTATTGTTATGGTGAGCTTGTTTCATAACTCAAGCATCAAAGGCCACCCTCACCTGATGCTTGGCCATCTCCATTCCCTCCAAAACCACCGTCTTAAAGTCCTCCTGTTTGTCCTGTGGAAGGAAAGAGGAGAACTTTCAGACTCCATTTCATATATCAAAATAACACTTTGCCGTGAAGGCCGTGCAGTTGCTCGGTTGGGTGCTGTGCTTCAGCTAGAAAAATCACCCGCCCCAAAACATCCACAGTGCAGAAATGGCAGACTCTGGAGCGGTGTGGCCGAGACTCTCAGACAAGAACAGCACTGCCAGCTTGTTCTGCTTATTGCCAGCAGTGCCCAAGGAGGTTTTTAAGCACGTTTCCTTCAGACAGCAGAGCCTGAGCGACATCATACTGTGTGAATGTGAACATTAGTCAGTGGGTCCTGAAGGAAAATTAAGACCCGCTGGAACATTTTGTTCAGAAACAGTTATTTTTCTAAGAAAAACCTGCAGCTATATGCAACAGAAGAAACAGCACAAAGAAGAAACAGCCTGGCAGTCCATAATCATTACCTCATGTTTATCTCATCATTGTAGCCCTGGCTGTGGTTCACAGTGTGCAACTGCTGCTGTGACTAGGGGGTTCCAGAAATTCCAGGAAATTTTCTATATTCTTGAAGCATACTGCGTGGAAATCCTGACTTCAGGCATCTATCTCAACATACAGTACTTACCAGCATGTGTATTTTATACATCCTATGTAATTTATAATACACACAGAGAGATTATTTGGAGTGCAACAGCTTTCTAACAGGTATAGCACACTACACTGAACACCAGGGTTAGAGGCTATGCCTGATCAGCAGTCAGTTAAAACTGATTATTCCTTCACACATGCGAGAAGAGAAACTTAGTCTCATCTTCATGACTCAAAAACAATAAAAAGAAGAATGCAGGTGTGCCTCAGATACTTGTTTTATCCCCTACAGCTGTGAGCCTTGTTTGATTGGCTCAGATCTGCCTGCCACTAAGTGATCCCTAAATTTTACTTGTATGTCAGCAGTAGTTTCTTTGCTCAGTGAAAATCATCATTAGAGATTGCAAATGCAGTAGCTACAGCGAGATCCCAGCGTGAGAGCCCCGGCAACACCATCTGTCTGGAGGGAAACCCAAACTTCAAAGCTTTCTCCCATAAGGTTTCAAGCTTCCTCCGTGTTTCCCTGGCCCGCCCTGTCCTCACAGCAGGAGCAGTGAAGTACCCCACCGCAATTTTCTTACTTTGTGGCAGCATAAGGGAACTCCCCAGGACAGGGCTGGGCCGGCTTCCATCAGCCTCATTGGCAGTTCAGGCCTCCACCTCACCCAAACCAGGCGTTTAACGTACCTCACGCACCAATGTAATGACAACCCGAATTCAGCTCCCACTCCACAAAGCGTGCAGCCGATGGTTTCCCAGAACTGTTCCTACTGTTTGGTGCCTTCTTCCATTCCTCGTAACTGCTTCAGGAAACCCAGCCCTCCCTGGCTCTGCACAGCCTCAAAACTTTCGGTTCTGTCATTTTTTTTAGGAATGGAACAGTTTCCTAAATATTTACATGTGATTATTACTAACAAAAATGCTTTTCTACTTTTTGAAGTAGACTTTTTGAGGTAGTTAGTTATACTAGTACCTACATATACGACTGGCTATATGAAAGGATTTTACGTTAAAATATATTAGACACTGAAGCATACTTTACTTTTGCTCAAGTAATACAAACAATAGTTTTACTGGAAACTCCAAAGTCACTGATCATCGTCTTTTTTTTGACCATAGCAGGTTTGGGCTTTTTTTTTTTGTTTTGGTTGTTTTTTGGTTTATATACCTACATATTTTGCCTGATGCTGACTGATTACTGCAGTGGCAATCTCCTACATCAGATAAACTCCAACCTTCATCATTAAAAAAAAAATGAAAATACCCCAGACGAAACAGTGGTGTAAGCTACTGCACATGAAAGTTTTCAACAAAAAGCAGAACTTGAAGCAACTGACATACCTTTGCTTTTTTTCGCAGCAGTTTTGCTAGACGCACCACATAAGGCTTGAATTCCCTCTGATGTGTTCCCTGTCTTCGTACTTCTAAGCCTGAGTCATCTGATGCTTCTGGAATAAAAGCCCAACGATACCTGTCATGAGATAACACAGGCAGACATTATCTTTACTGAACACGCAGGCTTTTCTGATAGATTTGAACATATAAATTAAACGAGGAAATCCAGTTAAGTATCAAAGGATGGGAATAAAAAGACAAAACCAACCCCCCCCCAAAACATCAGTCTGACAAGAGAGAATAGGAAAGGCCCATTCTGAAAAGCAGGAGGTACCACGGTTGAGAACATAGCATTGTCCTTTTCCTTTAAAGTTTCTTGAAGTATTTAAGGATCCTGAGAGCAAGAGAAGGCAGACAAGCTAAAACCAGCAGTATTCACATCTTCACTGTGTGCAAGAGAACTGAAAGCAATTGTGAATTATAAAATCCCAGTGTTACTTAGAACATTTTTCTGGACGTTTGCAGTGCTTACTGTAACACACAAATGTTCACAATATACCATGTTGATAACAGAAACTTGTTTATTTTACCTATTCATGGACCAACAAGACCAAGTGGACCATCCCCTCCACCTTGCTGCCCTGCAAGGACTGGCTCATGCATTATAAACTATAAAGGAAATCAAAGTTTCTGTCCTTCAAGCTTCAATCCAAGCCTCCATGAGAACAAACTAAAAGACAGTGTGATTCAGTATGACTATTGTCTTTCCACAAGTGCACAGTAATGACCTAAATAAAAGTAGGTTGGCTAACAACAGGGATTAGGACATCTTGGAGAACTGAACAGGAATTACGAGCCAAATCCCTGGAAAAGAAAATAAATGAAGGAACCTTCAATATCAGCTTTAGGTTTAGAAATAGTACATGGCACAAACTGACACGGTGTGTGAGTCCTTCCACCCTCCACCTCACACGAGTGTCTCCTGAAAAACAGAATTACTAATAGTGACCAAATGTCTACAGAGCTGTATCAGGGCAGCAGCTCTCACACGGTCACCACTCTGCAGTGTAAAGGAAGAGAGACGAGATACTTTCTTCTGCCCTTGTTGGCCTTGCATTTCTAGGGTCTTCAGCACATGCCGGTCGTTTTGCATTTGTTTTTTTCCAATGGTGCAGAGGCACTGAGGAAGCAGTTGGCTCACACGACCAATCACTGACCAAGAGAAGCCCTACGGGCAGGTTTGCTGCAACATCTTCCAGACGGATCACGCAGGCGTAATTTGAGTGAGTCATGCTGAGACGACACACGGTCCTCTGATCTCATGCATTAATCACTGAGATGCGTGGGTGTACTTTGAGTTCTTAGACATTACTGCAACCAAATACTTTAAAAATAAGGTGCTTCAATAAATCACTATTACTGATTAGCTCACAAGTATGGAGAACCACTTGCCACAGGCTAAATCAAACCATCTTGAGCTCATTTGGTGCATCATTTGCTCTGGGGGCTACTCTGACACTGGGGCTGCCCCGGGTGAAGGCCAGGGAAGGAAAGGAAATGGGAAAACAAACATTTTTGCACGCTAAAATGATGTGTGGACAAACATCCAAAAACTTAAATGACAGTGTCTTCTACTCACATCTGAAACTGAGGCAGGTTTTCAGATGGTAAAGCCAGGGCCAGATCCAGAAATTTGCAAGCAGACAAGTAGAGGTTCAACCATCTCTGGCTATTGTAGGACGTGGAGAAACCATTTCCGCCTGTGTACGTTGTCTCCAGACCAGCGACAGATGGGCCAGAAGTTCTAAAAGAAATTACAGTGGGCAGGTGAGTCATAAGAGCCTTCTGTCACTACAGCAACATCATCTTTCTTACTTTATTTTTGCAAATGTAGAAATCTTTATTTACCAAACTAATCCTAAATCCATAAATCACACCAGGACATTGCAAGCCTGTACTATGGGTGGAGTTTTGTACGTGTGCGCATATACGTATATATGATAAAATGTCAGTATATAACAAAGATGTTACACTGTATCTCATTCCCATCAGACATCCAAATTAAGAGAAAGTTTAAAACTTCCAGTCACACCAGTATTACTTTATTATGGGGAAAAATTCTTCAAAAGAACAAAGAGAATCTAGAATTAAAAAAAATGAAGAACAAGACTTAGGCAAATAACTACTCTTGGGTTTTTTTGAGAAACCTGCCTCTCCTGCCAGAATTCACTGAAATTGGATCACACTGTGCAAAAGATAGATGGGATAGAAGTGGACAATGAAACACTAAAAATCATGTACCTCATCTTTATGTCTTTTTAATGCTACAAGAAAGCACATTCTTATTTAGACCAAAGGAAAAAAAAAGTGCATCAATCTTAGTCCAAGTGTATGTGCAGAAAAGCTGTGAAGTCATGCCACACATATTTTAATTGTAGAAGTGGTGTCATTTTAGCCAGGAAGACACTGTAAGAACTAACATACTTGTGTCACATAATTAACCTTAGTGGTTTATGACTAATCTGACAGTGGGATTTTTTTGTTTTGTTTTGTTCTGAACAATATGTCTCTGATACTGCAGTCAGATTGAACTACCCTTTACTTGTCCTTCTTTTTTGCGTTTGAGAATTCCTTCTAAGATAAATTATTCTAAAAGAGTGACTCTACTGCCCATCAGCACGCCAGGAGACTGTTATCAAATTACAGAAGGGGGGAAGGTTTGTAAGTTTACCTGGAAATGTCTTCATCAGCAGTGAGCTCCTGTTCCATCAGTAAAAACACTCGTACCTGAAGATAAATGCTGTGACTTAATATTGTTTTTTATGGACTGTGACTCAGGAAAATGTTGTAAGGAGGCCTGAGTAACAAGCTTTAGAGGAACTGGTTGGAGCTTTATTTCTCTTCCTGAATTATGATATAACCCTCTGAACCATGAGTGGATACCAACACCCTAAATCTCTTTAATCCTTTTATATATTGCCTGAGCAGCACAAGGGCCTTAAGAAACTGTCTCTTTTATGGCCAGGAAAGCTCTTGGAGGCTAAATCCCTCCATCTCCCACTAGATCAGGCTGCTCAGAGCCCCATCCAACCTGGCCTTAAAAACTTCCAGGGATGAGGCTTCCACAGCTTCCCTGGGCAACCTGTGCCAGTGTCTCACCACCCTCATAGGGAAGAATTTCTTCCTAATTATCTAACCTGAAATGCTGAAGAGGAATGAGGTGATGTCTCAAATTTGCACCAGTCCTCCAAATCATGAATGCTAATTGCAACTCACCAGTTCAGTGATCATGGTCGGCCAAAGCGAGGTCAGGTGCTGTGGGGACATTCTTAAAAGCAATACTCTGAAAAACAGGAACACTTGGGAGTGAAGGGTGGGCACCTGTGGCAAACGGAGGCTTTCTACCAGCCTTTCTGAAACAAAAAGCCAAGAAGGTTTTCTCAGTTCAGGATAATTCCAACTAGCATTCTCTCCTTCCCTCATTTACTCTCATTTTTTACTTTTTTTTAAGTATCTACCATGTTACTGTTTCAGTACTTTGCTACAGTTTTATTCTCTCTACATAAAAAATAATCACTTTCACTAAGCAACAAACAAAAGCGAGAGAAACCTCAAAACAGTTGTATATTTTAATTAAAAATCTGGATCTAGGAATTTTTCTCATGCAAAATTTGACCCATTACAAAAAGATGAGTTAACAGATTCCAACCAACAGAACAACAGCCCAAACAGCTAGGCTATATTACTACTATTAAAAGGCTGCGTCACCATAGTACATGGGATATTACACAGGGAAGACATGCTCTTATTTAACCACAACCACCTCTAAGCACTCACCATATACAGAGGCAGATACATAATGAATTTTTTCAGTCAAACCAACACATGCACTTTGGAGTTCAGACCAGAAAGAAACACCTGATATCTTGAACACAGTAAACCCAGCTACTGACTTGACCAGAAAAAAACCAAAACAAAACAGCACCTCCACACCAACTTTCAAAGAATAAATTCTGGAACAAATGAAACAACAAAGATGATGCAATTGATTTTCCAAGTGGAGTAAGAGACCAAACTGTCCACCTTAGCAGCACTAAAAGACAATACATCTAGAAGCTGCTGATATTGGTACCCTCTTAGAATAAAACTAAGCAGCTCCAATTCCATGTCACTTAATGTAAAACTCACTGGAATATATTTTCTTCAGTGATAAACAGGACAGATGAATAGGAAAAAAAAACAGCTAGAGAAGTCAAGAACTCAAAACTTCAAGGTCAGCCTTTCAATTTACCCCTCGTTGATGTTCATGAGAAAATGCACATTGCAGGGACCCAAGGACTTCCATCAAGGTATACAATGACAGATCAGTAAAACAATCTGGATAATTTCAACTGTTAATCACAAAGTCTGCAGAGTTTGTAATCATTTAAGACCAAAAACATTCTAATCAAAATCTGCACAAACATCGGAGTCCAGAAGTTCACTAAATGACACACTTTTACTGACCTTGTATGTCTGGAAGGTACTTCTGATATTGATCTATCTCACTACTAAAAATTGCAAAAGCCAGTCTCTTCAGGAGCATTGAGCGCTGTTCCAGTTCTACATCTCGATTAGCAAACAGATTGAGTGAACTGCTCTGAGCCACAGCCACTCGTGCTGAAAGAGAAAATGCATAGTGCAGAGGTGAACTTCAAACCTTCCCTTCTGTTTCTCCTTAAGGGACAAATAACTCTTGCTTTCATTGCAGTAAGGCATTTCGAAAGTAGATGTTAAGAAGGTGCATGTTCTGCAATTTGTATTTTTAACCACAGTGATTTAAAATAAGCGTTACAAGAAAACTTGTAAGTATACACAATAGTGCCTGGGTTTAGGGGCTTTGGGGAGGGGGTTTAGGCATTTATTTATTTTTTAAACAGAATTTGCAGGTATGGATGCTCAGAAGCTTGGAGTGTGCAGAATCAATTTTTCCTAAAGCAAAAGTTAACGTCAGATCTTAAAAAAAAAATTCAAAAATCCAAACCAAAACAAAACAAAACCAACAAACCCCATCCCCATCTGCTCTGTTAATCAGCTTTGCCATACAGGCAAAATCCACTGTGTGCCCAGAGGGTCTAAGACAACTCTCCGCAGCCAACTCTCTGTAGGGACAACTCCATGCAGGTCGGCAGATTCCACTGGTTTTCTCCAGTGCACAGCTCTGCGCTGGTCCTCAATGAACTTCCAGGTGATCGGGTGGCTTGGAGGCAACGATGAGCAGCTTCAGAATGGTTGTTAGTGTGATTCTCGGAGCTCTGTGTTCTGTCAAACAGAATCCATGTAGGTGGTGGAACCAGAGGAGCTTGTCTACCAAGTCCTCTCCTACCTGGACAACCGATGTAGCTGGCCTCAAACCAGCTGAGATGAGGCTGAAGCTCTTTCAGCAGATATTACTCCAGATTAGCAACATATTCCTCCAAGTCCAGGACAGCTGCAAATGCCAAGGCCACAAATACTTCAGCCTTAAGGGCATATCCCACGTTTGCGCTGAACTCTTGAACAGCACCTATCGACGCCAAATGCTTCCTCATATTCCAAACCAGGTGGAAGCAGCTGCCTTTTGGGGCTGCTTCTGGCAAACATTTCTTTATGTCATTCATGACAGCTGTTTCACAATCACAGTGAATGGACAACGGCGGGATGTTAGGCACCAGTGCTTGAATAAAATCCAAAAACTGCTCCTGTGTGGCACGCTTTTTGTCTGGCAGAAGGGCATACAGCACCTGATGCACAGACCTGTACTTCTTTGCCAGGATCACACAGATCTAGGCAAAGAGTTTGGGGGCTATTGCAGATGTGCTGTTCACACACCAGGCACTGGATGTTTACAGAATTTGCAGTCAAGTCATTCTGCCAAATACAAGAATCCTTCTGGATCCCTCTCAAGTATCACCAAGCAAGAAAGACTCGTGCACACCTGGTGGTGGCGAACAGATCTTGTGTTCCTCAGGTAATACAAGGTCATCCAGGCTCACTGGGTCTAACGGTGCTGCATTTAACTGATTGCCAGATTGGTTTTTGTAAAGCTTCTCTTCTCAGAATTACAGCACGAACTGCAAGACTTCAAGCTGGACACGCACAAATGAGTAACTTCATTTGTACCCTCCACCATTTCTTCAGCTCACCACCTTATCCCCATCACAAACCTTGTCACTTAATGTGAAATATAAAAATTATAAATTGGCCAACATAAGTGCAGCCAGCTAATGCACAGGTGGGATGCAAGGAGGAAAACTACAGGAGGGTTTCGCTCAGGAAGCTGGGGAGCAGGCAACTGGTGCCGGTACTGCTGTGTGCGTTGTGCAGATGGACAAGAATCGCTGCTGCCATGGGGACTGCTGGTTCCCCATGTTCCCAGTTTCCTGGAGCTGACAAGGATGCTGGGGTGGTGGGATGCCATGCAGTTAAGTATCTCAATTTAAAAAACAACCCTCTCCCACAAAAAAAAACCAATAAAAAAGGTCAGAACACCAAACAAGCTGAGGTCAATAAAGCAGGCTCTCCAGCCAGGCAGTGTGCAGGCAGCCGGAGCTGCTTCCCCTCCACCACTCACCCACCTCCCTGCGTGCCTACTCCTCCTGTAATGCAATGTAATGTAATGAATAGTGCCAGCACGGCAGGAACGAGCTCCTTGACTGCCCTCACTCTGCATCCTGTGAGAGACCTGTGTAGAGCTGACCACACAGAGCTGACCACATAGAGTTGTCCGGTGGAGAGTTGGTCACAGAGAGTTATCTCATTCCAGCATCATGATGTTCTCAGATTCTCTCACTTCAATTCATCTTATTTATGGATCTCCAGAAACAAGTGGTTGAAGAAAAAGTGAAAAACATGGAATAAATCAAACAGATTGGAATAAAAGTTGAACAAATATTTTCTTAAAAATACTTTTTCTGCCCTTTTTCTAATGTTTCCTGTGGAGAAAAGTCACGACTGCATCAACAAATACTTACTCATCAAATCTCTGAATGTGGTTTTGTCATGTGTCATCAAATTATCCATAATAGCTCTCCAACTAAAACAGAAAGGTTGTACACAAATCAGAAAAGCAAGAAAAAGGGAGGAATTTAAAGGAATATTTGTAGAACTTTTTTAATTCAGCCTCAAAGCTTCCCATCCAAGCTCTCTGCTACATAGGTGCAATTTGACCTGAAACTGTATTTCTCAAATCTCTTCTCAAAGAAAACAAGGGTGCCAACCAGAGCTACCTTGACAGTCTGGAGAGGTGGGTCTGTGTGATTCTCATAGAGTTCAACAAGACCAAGTTGCAAGGTCCTGCACCGGGGTCAGGGCAATCCCAAACAAACAGGCCGGGCCATGAGTGGATTGAGAGCAGCCCTGCAGAGAAAGACTTGGGGGTGTTGTTGGTGGATGAAAAGCTGAATATGAACCAGTGATGTGCACTCACAAATATGACCCGGTGTGGGCCCTCCACACCCCCGCCAGCCAGTCATATTCTGGGCTGCATCAAAAGAGGTGTGGCCAGCAGCTCGAGGGAGGTGATTCTTGTCCCTCTGCTCCTGTCAGACCCTACCTGCAGTACGGTGTCCAGCTCTGGAGTCCTCAGCCCAGGAAAGACATGGACCTGCTCAAATGGGTCCAGAGGAGGGCCACAAAGGTCATAAGTGGCTGGAGCACCTCTCCTGTGAGGACAGGCTGAGAGAGTTGGGGCTGTTCAGCCTGGAGAAGAGAAGGCTCCGAGGAGAGCTTACAGCGGCCTGCCAGTACCTGAAGGGGGCTACAGGAAAGCTGGGGAGGGACTGCTTACTAGGGCAGGTAGCTGTAGGACAAGGGGTAATGGCTTTAAACTGAAGAAGCATAGATTTAGATTAGATATTAGGAAGAAGTTTTTCACTATGAGGGTGGAGAGACACCGGAACAGGTTGCCCAGAGAAGTTGTGGCTGGCCCCTCCCTGGAAGAGTCCAAGGCCAGGCTGGATGGGGCTTCGAGCAACCTGCTCTGGTGGGAGACACGTCCCTGCCCATGATCTTTAAGGTCCTTTCCAACCCAAACCATTCTATGATTCTATAAAATGTTAACCACTTTTTCCTCATAGAAAAAAATAAATTAAAAAACCCTTGAAACTGAAAAAAGGACTTGTGCATAGAAATATACCTCAGGTAAGCAGATTTCACATTTCACGTGGTAATCTAAAACATAAAACTTTCCTTTATTTCTCTCAACAGAGATTTTTTTGTGAAATTTTGGTCCACGTTATACATACTCTCGTGTCCCGGTATACATAAAATTTGTAACTGACATCAATGCAAGCATGAAGAAAGAAAAGCCTTACTGGTTAACACATGAAGCATCCATCTGGAAGAAACTGGAATCCATAAAGAGGTCAAATGCTTCTTTTTTCCATGCTCTCCTTGTATACTGATAGCCACTAAGACTGCTTAATAACTGAACACAGGCTCGATAGCTGGATGCATTGTGAGCACTAAACCAAAAAAGAAAATGAAAAATCAACATGAAACACCTTTTAATTGTTGCTTTATAGGAAGTCTGATATACATCTGATCATTATCATGCTTGTTTCAGCTTAAGTGTCACCCACCACATTTCAGCTTAGGTCTGTAGGGACCTATATCAACTGAATAAATGGTAAAGATACCTGTGATTACGGAGGTAGGGAACAACATAGTGCATAATATTTACAAGCAAAGGAATAACTCTCTCTTTTTCATCACTGTAGAAAACCATATCTAAGAGATGAGCCAAAACCTGGAAAAAGAGAGGAAAACATGTTATCATACACTCCCAAATTGTTTTTTATCTACTATTCAACATTTTTTTTTTGTATCACGTCCTTCACTGAATGTTCAAGTTCATGATAGAAGTGATCAAATTTCAGGTATGATACAAAGTCCAGACTTTAAATATCCCATCATTTTAAAAACACAGAAGCATGAGCTCCTGTGCAAAGCATTCTACAGAATAAGCTACTAATAAAAAAAATAATTCAAAGATTGACTGTGATTATCAGCACTGCATAACACATACTACTAATAACACACAGTTTGCCACCAAAATTTTACTAATAGACATCCAAAACGCTTTATGCCTCGTCCATCTCACTGAGTATTTATAACTAGGTTAGTAAAAAAGTAAAAAAGTTTTATATATTTTTACATGACAGGACCCAGAAATACCTGTTTCCCATCAAATGTCTTTCCCCAAGCTTCTAGTCCAAAGCTTTTCACAACATAAAGGTTTATTATAAGACAGTATTTATTACATCTGAGGAGACATTTACCTCAGAAAGTAAGGTCAATGCATGGACACTATAAACAGATGGAGTTATGTTTGAAGTTTCCATTGCTGGAGACAACATATCTAAATGAAGATAATAATAAAAAAACATGTCTAAAGTTAGTTTCCTCAAGCCATTATTTACCTTACAAGCATATGTTAATAGAACATATTTTGAAGATGTACAGAGTTTGCCAGAAACACTGTGTAAAATACTAGTGCCTGAACAACACTGAAGCCTTTTTAATGTATTCATTATTTATACAGTAAAGCTGCCTTCTTGGTTCATTTTGGCCTGATAATTAATGTTTTGTTTAAAACAAAGATGAAATTGAAACTACCTTCAACATCCGATTCTAAGTTGTTTCCATCAACCATAATCTTGGGGGAAGGCTTAACCTCCAAGTTGCGTCTCAGCCAAGTAGTCTGTTCCAGCGAAGAACCAGCGATTGCCCCAATGGCATCCACTATCTTGTGCGTTACATCCTGGTAGAAAAAAAGACCAAGTATTTTAAGAACTTCATGCAGAAGGGCTGTATTTGTTGTCTTGATGCGGTTTTGCAGAAAATCTATAGACCTAATTAAGTCTAGAACTGCTTTTCAATCATTTCTGTTCTATATTATCAGTGATAACTCCACAGAAAATCGTTTTCAACAGATTATAAATAGTACTAACTACAAGATACTGAAGAGTCATTTCAGACTACAGAACTGATATATCAGGTAATTCTACACTTAATGTTCCATATTTTCAAGCAAGACATACATACAACAAATTTCTTACCTGAAGATCTCTCTGATCTTTCTTATTCTCCAGGCTTGGGTTTTTCATAATGAACTCATTAAGAACACTGAAAAAATACAGAATAGCAATTTCCATCTCACAATATATTATTCGGTAATTTTACGAGCTAGGATGAATTAAGAAATTTATGTGCACAATACTTTTTTACTAAATCTTCAGTCACGCTACTTACCAATATTCTAGAAAACATCCTTTCAAGTATCTTAAGTTAATTTTGATCATACTGTAATGGTTTATCAAGAACATACTTTACTAGACTATACACAAAAGTATCTTTACAGAAGTTTACTAAGGAAGATAAATTTCAGAAATTTAAGAGAATGGTCCTTGAAGCTTTATGCACAAAATCATATTTAATTTCTAACACTCCACAAACAGCTTTCACACTGGAATGAATTCCTTCTAGTTGGTTGTAAAGATACAAATGCCCAAGAAATAGTCACTCTAGTGACTGTAGTCACTGTAGTTATTTTCTAAGAAAAACTGTTAACCAAAACCTACTGTTGAAGGAGCCTGAATCTCTGAAATAATTAGTAAGGTGAGCTCATGGCTTGTACTGTATTATAAAATTTAATAGATGTTACCATTCTTTAGAGAAGAAACTAATTTGATAAAACCCACAGAACTCTACCACTAAAAATAAGTGATAGAGATTTGAAAACACTAATATTTCAATATGATTTCACACACTTCTATTTGAGATTACTTGGAATTTGCAAGTATCAAGAGCACTTACCCAAGTATGAGGAATTGACCTGGAGCTGGAAGACCAACTTGGATGGAATCTTTTAAGAGAAGCAGCAGCGCTGCCCAGCTATCTACCAAGCTGGTCACTGGAATCCTAGGAGAGAGCAGCGATGGCAATGAAAACAGCATCATCTCCCTCAGGTGTTCCCCATTTTCCTTCTGCCTCACCATTCTCCTGTCGGATATTGTGAATCAACATTCACACAGATTCTTTGGTTGCTCATTTAATATTAGGTGGCTACATCAACCCATTAAGAAAAGGAGGAAGGCAGAAGACCAGTGTACTCAACAGGCTTTTCAGTCCAAGTTTGGGGTGGTACCAGTGAGTCACAGCACAATTAAGAGCAGCCTTCTTTGGGCAGGGGACAGATTTCCTGCAGGATTTTTAGGCAGGGGAAGAAAGGTGATGCAGAACTAGGGAACTCGTAAAATGAATTCCTTTCTTTTTTATGACACCTAGAGTTCAAAACCATTATTTCTTCACAGCTTGTATTACACAGGCTATTTCTCATCCTAGGGATAATAGACAGATGCAAAATATTCAAATTGTCCATCTGATTCTTCAAGACAGAAGTAAAATTTAACTTCTTGTCTTACCTTTGAGTGTAAGCATAGAAAAACTGCAACATGCAGACTTCCAGTGAAAGATGTTTCTAGAAAAAGAGACGAAACCTGTGTCATCAGGAAGAAGAAAGTGACTTCTTTTCCCCTCACTTGCCAGGGCAGAACTGACAATGCTGCAATGTTACTGCACTGTCTGAATACATAGCTTAATTCACTAACAGGATACTACTAATGTCCATTTGAGAGTCTCTCTACAGAGTTACTTCTTTTTTATTATTCCTTCTTTTCCCCACTTTCCTTTCCCAAAAATCAACCTGATGTTAGGGTATGCACTGGTTGCCCTAATGTAAGCAGCCTAATCCTATAAAACACGGCATTGTACAAAAGCAGTAAACAGGATTCTGGAGTTGTTCAGTAAATGCAACGACTTAAGGAGTATGACTTCCCTCCAGAAGCTCATCCATATATGATATACTGTGCAAATTTTCACACTACTGCTCAGCTTTGCGAATAAAGTATCCATATCATTGGTGTTCTCTGCTTCAGCAAGGGGGAATGAAAGGAAGCAACAGCATCTCAACAGTTTTCATACCTTGTCTTTTGCTATGGCTGGAGGCTGCTTCAAAACTTCTTTAACTGTTTGTATAACGGTCTCTGTTCTCATGACACTGATAGAGCGAACTAGCTCGACCAGTAGAAGTTGTTCTTCACCTGCTGTAGGAATGACCTGGAAAAATCAAACGTATGTCGCAGATTATCATCACGAACAACGTCTATGTCAAAATTCAGGCAGGTGGCCTCATGGGATTGAAAGGTTAGTAACTAACAGTTCATCCAGAGACCTGAAATCGTTTATTTTTTTCCTGAAGAAAATGTCTAATCAACAGAAGAGCTGCCAATTAGAAATGCAATATGAATATTCTTTACATTACGTACTATATGTTTTTTCACTGGAATGCCCAGTTTTCCTCCTTACTACTTTTGAATCATTTAAAGTTCTTATTATGATTTGAAACGACCACGGTAGCATAAACATACCTTTGTCCTAGAAGCATTTTTATTTTGCCTCCTTTCATTCCATACAAATGCAATAGCAGCCATGAAGTGAACTCCGTGATTCATTGAAATTGGACCCAAAAGTTCAAGAATCTGCTGCCTCAAGTTCTGAAATGCAGAAGCAGAACACGGCCACCTTTAGATAAGTACCTCAGCAATATGTTCAAAATAGCTAGCTATAAAGCCATACTTGGATGGTAACTTATCACTAACTTCTCTAAAAATGGAAGGATGCACTCAGAGGGTTCATAAAGCTCTGTTCTATATCTGGTACTCTGCCATCACTTTACTCATGACTAAGATAGGGGAAGAAAAAATGCACTTTTTAAATTTGCAAATGGTCATGAAGTGGGAAGAAATTGATAGAAATGTACAGATCTAAAAATGACAAACTCAGAAAAGCATCCTGAAAACAGATAAGCCGATCTTCGCATGCAAAGGTAGCGATAAGCAACCTTAGTGGTTCAAGATGAGAAATTATTCAGAGAGCAGCACTACAGATAAAAAGTTTTGGGATTATAGTGGATCACAAACTCATCCTTGATGACTTTGCAAGGAAGGGGAAAAGAGCATTCATAAATAGCAACATCTCATTAAAGACATTAAATATTTCCCCTGAAAGAAGTTATCACATAGCAAGTCCAGTTTTGGACACCTTACTTCAAGAAATGTACCACAAATTGACAGAACTCAAACTGTAAAAAGAGAGATTAGCGCTATGAAATATGACCTACAAGAAGAGGCAGAGATCTGTTTGTACACAGTCAGTAGGAAAACATAGAATAGTTACCAAATGTGGACAAGGTAATCTGTGCACAAGGAAGAGAAAAGGAAGAGGATGTTCAACATCTGCCACATAGAGTGACGGGCTTGCTTTATAGCAAGTGTTTATTCTTCAAACACACAATTCTGTGAAGTCCCACAGTTTCATGTGTTTTATTGAAAAAGCTGAATTCAACCTGGACTTTTCCTTATACAAGACATGTTGAATGTTCCTTTGAATTCTACAGATTTGAGCAAATTAAGGCAAAGCTGGAGTGTATGGAAGAGTTAATGTTTAAATTCCCTTCTTGCCAGTGAGTAGGAAATCCTATGGGCAGCACATATATGAACATGGATACTGTCTGTGCAGACATAGTCTTAAATAATTTATTTCTTATTCCTTCGATCTGAATGACAAAAGCTTGAAAAGGATGTAACACAGCATCATCACAAACAGTACCCTATAGTATTCAAATTAACTGAGGAAATCCTATTTTAAAATAAGGTGTCAAATTTAAATGACAATTTCCTATTTAATAATGGAAAGTTGAAGAAGTCTGAAATGCTTCCAGGAAGAAGGCTAGGCAGCATGTTCTCTATAGTCCTATCCAGTCCCTTCTCAGGTTTTCCTCTTTACGATTACCAGCTCACAATCTGCTATGACATCTCTCTGTCCCCATCACTGGATGGGAACTGAATGAATAAAGGGACTAGTTGATACGTGTCTTGAGTATTAGATGTTTCAAGAGGAGGGTTCTCTTCTGTTCAGATTCTGCACCAATATTTTATATCTTTTGAGGCATAAGAGAGTGAGTTATTTTTTTCTTTCAGGATGGATTTAATTTTCTTTATGAAAAGGAAATGAGATGTCTCAAATTGATACACTCAAGTTTAAAAGCAGGTTCAATACCAACAGTCCTGTGTGATGTACTCTGTGCAGTCCTGCCTCAGCAGGGGGATTGGACTAGATGATCTCTAGAGGTCCCTTCCAACTCTGATGATCCTGTGATTCTGTGCATAAAAGCCTTGTTTGTGGAGTGGGTGATTAGATAAAGACAAAGGTATCGAAACTCAAGTTACATTTAAGGGAATACAATTGGATTTAGTTTGACTAAGGTATTAATTAACGACTTAAATGACATTATCCCTGATATTCTGACCTTTGTTGACCCAAGATTGATTGTGGTAATGGATGCAGCAGCAGCAGCAGTAGTTTTCTCCGAAGAATCTGCAAGGTGAAGGATGCTCCACAGTAAAGTCACAGAAGACATGATCATATGCAGGATAGAGAGGATCCCATTGCGTGCTTCAATCAAGTGCTTCTGATCTACATTAACCAAAAGCTGGTGGATTTGAAGGGGAGAGAGGAGGAAGACTGTTAAATATCTACATAAATAGCATAAGCAAAATACTATAAAATGACACTTAACAGACATGGAACCTTTCAACCCTAAATCTTTTCACAATAGTTTTTCACTAATTCTCACAGTATGCACAGGTTTTGAGTCTACTAAAAATAACTGTTAAAGAATCTTTTGATGCAGCTGTACAATATCCAATGTATTCTGAACAGTTGAGGCTTCATTTCTACAGCAACCAACTTTGTATCATCTGCCTGTACCTCCACAAAACAATTATTACAGAATTTTAAGTGTAACTAATACTCTAGGCAAAATTATTTACTTGCACAGACAATAAACATTCTTCCGTTACTTTCAAGTGAATGGATGGCAAAGAGATATAAGAATACCATAAAAAACCCCAAAGCACGATTGCAGAGAGAGCAGAACAAAAACTTTCTTGCAGAATCTGGGAAAAACTCTTAACAGGGACTATGTTCAGAATATCAAATCTAAAAATATAGCGTGACTGAAAAGGTGGATTATGGATATAGAAAAGGAGCAGAAACATAGTGTTTTGATGTATTGCAAGATGAACACAGTCTAGCAAGAAAATAATAGGAGAGGCATCAGCCTGGGAAGTTCCACAAAATGAGCCAGCTCTAAAAAGTGGCATTTTAGAAGTCTGAAAATGTTAAGGAATTCCTACTTTAGTTATTTCAGGGTAACAAAAAAAAAACTGCAAACCCCAAAGCCAAAACAGAACAAAGAAAACAAGAATCTAAGACTCTTTAAAAGCATATTAATATACATACAACTAAAATAGATTTTCTGGTTGAGATGTGTATATTATTAATAAAAAATATACTTATAGCTAAAAAAATATATTTACTATTTTTGCCACTCAGATCTTCCTATCTGGTAATACAATCATAGTCCCTAATTTGACATATACTGCAGAGGGACCTCTCAGACACCCAGACAAGCTTACCTGATGATACTGCGTGGATGGATCCAGGAGACAGTAATGAATGATTGTTGTGATCCCTTCTAATACTGTAAGAACCATATCTGGGGGAGTGACCGATGCCATCCAGAGAGGCCTAAAATATGAGATTCACCTTTTAAGAACGGGCTAATCCAGTTGTAAAGCAATTCAACACAATCCAATCCGCTTAAAAAGATTATACACCTCTACGTACACATACCTATTATCAGATAATCCCGTTTCATATTTATACTGCTGAATTAAATTATCCAAGTTCCTGCAGAGCTGAAGGGTCACTGAAACAACCACCCTTTGCAGAACTTTCCCCATGTAAGGCAACGTAGAAGTGATAAGGCCGATCCACTGGGGATGCATTTTGCAGGCACAGTGCTGGTGTAAAGCTCGTATCACCGCGCAGAGAAACATGCCTTGGCAGGTTATCGGCTGGGAATGTAAATACTGAAGAGAAGTCATTGGCTGCTGGGGACCGATGTGCTCCAAGTCTGTAATGACAAAGTCAAAGCCCACTTCATTTTCCTCAGGCACAGTCATTACTCTGTGTTCCAGCACAATCAGCCGCTGGAGTACTTTTAAAAGCTGTGACTGCAGAGTACTGCCATTGTCAAATTCATCTTCAGAAAAATTTATAAGGCTGTCTTCGGAGAAACCTTCTTCCACAGCCACCATGTTTTTTCCAGCTACTTTTTCACTGTGCCATTTCTGTGCGCTGAAGATAGAAGAGAGCAGACAATGCAGGATCACCTTCTGAACCTTGCACTTGGACAACATGTCTGAAATGAAACTAGGGAAGCCCTTGGCAGAGCTTTCTATCACTTTTGCCAACTCAGCAAAGAGAAGGGTCAGTATTTCTATACTCATCATTTGCATGTTACGGTTTCCTATTAGGTCTTGCGAGGTTACTTTAACGTGAGTCGGGTAGTGGCTCCGCATGTAGTATAAACACAAGGAGATAAGAATTTCTATGTACATGGAGCTCCGAAAGTTATGGTTCGAATCGACTGGGATGTGACTATAGAAATCCTTCCCCATAACAGATATTCGATGCCTGGCTAGAAGATTCTGGAGCAACGAAAGCTGGGGAGTGTACGCATTGTTGACACTCGTAGTGGAGATAGCACTTACAAAAGCTGAAGGATTAGTTTTCAGAACTGCTTTAATCGCAGAGAAAGCATACAATGTCCTTGAAGAGTCATACAGCTGAAGATAAAGCAGTACATGTTGATACAACGGATGGATATTGAAGTTGGGAGATTTCCGCATTCCTGGGGACCCTACATCACTTTCTATTTCGGAAATTTCTCCTTCTCCACAACTGTACCAGTTTTCTAAATCAAGACCATCACTGAAGAAGACATTCGTTTGTTTAAGTTTTTCTGTCTGTGCCTTCTTCTTCTCTTCATCTTTCTTTTTGGCTATTTTCACCTTAGGTTTTGCCCCTGGTTGTTTACCAGCCTCTTTAACAATTGTTTCTTTTTCTGACATTTTTTCTGGTAGCTTTCCTTTAAAGCTGAACTGAATACTACTGTGGCTTCGCTTTCAGCAGAAGCAAGAGTGAGATCAGAGAGGGAGTGCTGGCTTTCTGCAATACAGGGTGAAGAGTTATTTCCTGAAATTTCATCTCTTAAGCTCTCAAGACCAGTCTCAGTTGAGGTTGACAGCAGTTGGGAGCTGTCATTACTGAGCAAACTACTCTGGCTACTTTGAAGATTTTGATCTTCATTTTTTGTCACCTCTGCAGAGTTATCCAAAGGACCGAATTTACATGAAGCATCCTCAGAGTGTAAACTATGTTTAACTGGTTCAGCCTCTTCTTCAAGACCACTTACAACTCTGCATATAAGATCTGTCACTACCTGTTGCACAATTTCATCAGGTGAGTCTTCTCTCAGAGTCTGAGAGCTATCTTGAGCACTCAGGCTTTCTGTTTCCACTTCAGAACTGATGTTGTCTCCAGTGGACGACCGAGAACAGCCAGAGTCAGAACTCTGCAGTATTTCAACTTGATGGTCAGGAAGGTCAAAGTCGGACACAACCATGGGTATGGTCTCGCTGCTGGTACTTAACAAGGAAAGCCTGTCACTCAGAGGGTTGACAGTCAGGCTGAAGTTCTCCATTTCATCCATAGCAAGCTGTTTTTCATTGCCTTCTTTAGGTATGATAAGTTGTCCTTGGCTTACAGGCACCTGGGAAAATGCTTAAAGAAAAGCACAAAAAATTTAGACACATAATATTTTGTTCTTTAAAATAAGAATTTTGAATTAAAATATATAATCTAAATGATTAAAGAGGCTTCAAATTATAAAGGCAAGGTAAACATTGTCTTTCCACTTCCCAGCAGAAAAAACAAAACGTTAATATGCAAGTGACACATAGTCACATAACCAGAGCAAGATTACTTTAGCAGCAGACCTTAGTGAAACAACAAAATTCTCCCATGAAACCTTATCTGTTTGTGTTTTCGTAAAAAAGAATTTAGTAAAATTACACAATACATGCAAATGCTTTCAAACTTATCAGTATGTTTTCAGTGAGCCCCACATCAGTGGTCCTGAATTAGGATTTCATTAGAATTTCATTTCTTGGTTAAGCTTCAAGCCATATTCTTAAATTCTACTGAAGTTCAGCAAGACATAAGAAAATGCTCTGTTAAAATACTTGCATCATCTCATCTTATTTAGAGAACAATGAAACTTCAACGATAATTGAGACACCCAAACTTGAATTAGGAAAAAAATGCACAAATGCACATGTAAGCAGCAGCTATTATTTCAGCACTATTATCTTGAGCGTTGCCCTCAAAAAATACTAGTGTGGTTTTAATGTTGCATGCAAATAAAACAAGAACTTCGTAGAGCCTTCGTCTGTACGTACCATCGGCACAGCTAAACTTCTGCATGAAGTGCTTTTCATTTTCTTCTTCAGGGTGATAGGGAGATTTAGTCCAGTAACATTCAGCCTGTACCCGCTGAACAGAAACTCGCTGAGTTTTTGGATGGAGAAGCAGTAGGAGCAAAGGTTCAAGAACCCTTGCAATATCATGCCTTTGAAGCACTTGGTTTAACCAGGCTTGTCCCACTGACCATGTAGATCCATCCAAGCTATTGAGGCTGTCCAGCATGATAAACAAAGATCTAGAACAGAAAGAAGAATGAATCTAGCACAAATTCTACACTACTCACCGAATAATCCCATTTTAACCTGATACACGATAAATTTCAACATATCAGTACATACTACAGTTTCTTCTCTGTACAAAACAGTATTTTCTTTAGAATCCTAATTCTGCAATCTGTTGCTTTATATTTTAGTCTAGTCTCATGAAGAAATGGCCAGGAAGAGCTAGTAATAAAGTCAGTTAAGACAGCTGCTCTAATAGTAGTAGTTGAGGTATTTATTACAGTTACCAGCATGACAGGCTTTGCTTGACTACTAAGTGCTAGTGCAGTATAAAAAGATAATACTTTAAAAGTCAATTCACAAAGATGCGTGGAAAAGAGAAGGTAATTTACTCAAAGACCTTTTCTTCAGGAATGGAGAGGAGAAATACACTCAAGAAGTCAGCACTTCCTACTGTCATTATTTTCTTCTTTTAATAGTATTTTTAAGCCCTTAAAATCCCTTTCAGACTTGGGGGAAAACAATACATATATCGGACTCTGAATTTTATTGACTGTTTTACATCCTCCAGTAGTACATGTTCCTAAACTTTTAGCTGTACGTACAGAATTTATTGTCACTTCTGCAATGAGTGACAGTACCAAGGCAGAGAAATATTCACTTTTTCACATAACTCATTTCTGGGTTGACATCTCTGTCCTCCTTTTGTTTTTACCAAATCACAGCAAGAACTCAAATACTATCTTCAATATACACAAATACTTTAACCACAGTGATAGTCAATGAATCACGTGACCATTCTGTCCTACTCTTTACAGCTACCAGAAAAACTTACAGTTTACATAATCATCATCATGAGAACACTTTGGTCTAACACAAAAAAAATTTTGTCTAGCATGAATTCCTTTCTTACTTGCTCTCACAATTACACTGTAGTTCTCCAGTTTCTAAACACGCTATGCTGTCAGTATAACACAGTTAACGATTTTGAAGCAAAATTATTAGTGCATCATGCTTGCAATCACCAACCTGTCAAAGGTACGGCCAAAGGAAGAAGACTTGTTAATATGAAGGTCACGGGTGAGATGCCATAGCACTGCAAACTTTGCATGAGCTTCCATTCTTACTTTCTGTGGATCAAATTATAAGTTAGATCTGTCAGAAAACAGCAGCCTCTGATAAGAACGGGTGAAAAAAAAAAAGTATACAGCAGCTTAAAAGATGTAATGCAACTATGAAAATCAACCTTTTGACTATGTGTTCAAATCCTATTTTCTAACATTAAAACCAGTAACAGGCAATAATCTATCTCTGTGAACCATTTAGTAACATGAAAGGATTCTCTCTCATCTTGATTTTGGCTACCTTAGTTTCAAAGGTTATCTTGAAAACGTTCTAAATACTTAAATGTAATAGCTTGAACAATACTTATTCTATTCTCCCAAGTTGCACAGCTCTGTTTTCAGCGAGACTGTATGTATCAAGCCTCTAAAAGAGATCAAGAAGAGAGAGCAGGAAGAAACATGCAAGTTTTTCAATACAAAAGCTCAAGCATATAATAGAGGCAGAGAGAAAAGGCAAAGAAATAAGAGAATTTTTTTAAGACTGCATCTGGAATGATGGGATTACACACAGTATCCATGGAAATAAGGGAAAGAAAATAAGTTGGCTAGAAAGAGACATAAGAATATTCTAACTAGATACAATGTAGACAGAGTTCACCACTAACATGCTAAATTTAGCTCTGGATCTTAAGAATTTTATTTGGACAAACAGGACATGCTTACTACCCAAAGGACTTCTAATGACTAGAAACAGTATGCAGGATATTTAATGGTGAAAATAGTGCTAAACTAACAATTTTTATGCCTTTATCTCTTTACCGTGGCTGATCAAGGTAAAAATTTATTCCAGCAAGACTGTAAACAATAGTAAATGCCATGCTATGGTATGAATACATCGGTATGTCTTAAAAACAGCATTACCCAAGAGACAAGGAAGCTACTAAGCAGTTGTAGTAGGGGTGAACAAAGCACTGCAATCAGGAAGTTATACTTTATAAAACATCAAAATTACTTTCCAAGACAGTTAGGGTTTAAATAAAATTACTAGATGATAAGCAGAGACAAGAGAAGTAAAATTTCCACTTGTTTGTTCTTAAAATACATGCTTATAGGGAAAAAAGAGTAGGTATATTTACCTCTAATCAAAATGAGATCAAAGTAAAAACTGTTAATACCACTGTGACAATCTGGCATACTTCCAGACTTAATTTACAACACATAGCTTAAGAAGCTTTGCAACAGCTAATAAAATCAGTATTTGAAAAAATAAAACCAGTATTTAAAACCACAATATTGAAAATTTGAAGTAAAAAGTATAAAACCTGAAAACTACAGAAAGGACACAAGGCATTGCATCAGACATAAAAATTCAAACAAAAGAAACAGCATCATTCTGAAAAGAAAAGCAAGCATCACAGGTATTTAAAAAATATGCTTCTCGCAGGAAAAAAACATAGCCCTGCTGCAAAATATATAGAATTACACAGTTCACTAACATCATGGTGAATAAAGAGTAAAAATACCAATTCTGAAACACATACAGGTGATTCCATGCAAGCCCTTGCAATCCACGCTGGGAAGATATAAGAAATTGCTGTTTTCACAGTAAGGTTGGCAGAAATGAGTGAGCGCCACATCCATGGTCACAGCAGTTCACAGAGCAGCCTAATTAGTGAAACTATAAACCACTGGCAGTTTTATCAATATGCCAAGCTGTGAACTGCAGTGATTGACAGACTGGCTCACTATCACTTTTGTTGACCTGGTTACTCTCTGGGAGAAAGGCAAAAAGGTAACTGCTTCTGAAGTCACACAACCATGTGTTATCAGAATGTGTAAGCCAGTAATTCCCTGTCATTCGTTCTGTTGGGGCTGTGAAAACAGTTCATGTAAAATTTAAAGCACTACAAAAGCCTCAACTCGAATGTCAGATTGACAGCCTGGATCTGAAACAAACTTCTGTGGGGCAAAAAAAGGACAGAATACCTCTCATGACAAGAAGAACTTACTAACAATAGTAAAAGGTGAGCATGTGTGTTACATATTGGGAAGCAGAGCCTAACTGTTGATAAGAGATAAGTTCTTCTACATAAGTCAGGTGCTGAAGGATGAAAAACCACCTTCATCTAGCGTGGAACTACAGAGGATCATCACAGATCTAAAAGAATCACAGAATCACAGAATTGTTGAGGCAGGAAAAGACCTCCGAGATCATCAAGTCCAGCCTATGACCCGACACCATCACATCGGCCAGACCACGGCACTAAGTGCCACACCCAGCCTCTCCTTAAACACCTCCAGGGACGGTGACTCCACCACTTCCCTGGGCAGTGCATCCCAGTGCCTGAGCACCCTCTCCGTGAGGAACGGCTTCCTGAGATCCAACCTAAACCTCCCCTGACACAGTTTCAGGCCGTGTCCCCTAGTCCTGTCATTGGTTGCCTGGGAGAAGAGCCCAACCCCCACCTGACTACAACCTCCCTTCAAGTAGTTGTAGAGAGCGATAAGAAACACCAGTTGTCAACAATCTGAATATCTGCCAGCTTCAAAAGACTTTGAAAATACCACTTCACTTGAATTAGCTAAACTGACAGCAACCCAGAAGTAATCAACAGCACAGCCAAGATCACTTCTAGAGAGACCTTTGAACAGCAATAAAGAATGGGAGAAATCCTCCAAGTTGGGTCATGAGCAAACTTTACAACCTGTGGGAGCAGAACAGGAGATAGGACAAGTGACAAAGCAATAACAAAACATGAAACAGCATTATCAGAAGCAAAGAAGTAGCAATTCTGGTCGCTCGACAGGTTCTGCTCAAATTATATAGTCTACGGCTTTTGACACAAGACAAAGACCTTCAGGAAAAGAGCAGCCTCAGTGGCGTGCTGCAAAGAAATGCACCAACAAACTCACAGCCCAGCTGCCACGTCAGTCAGAGCAGAGCAGGCAAGCACATCTCCCACACAGACACAGATGGGCAGAAAACTGGCAATTACTCTTAGAGCACTTCATTAGTTGCCCACTAGAACTGGCAAACAGGGCAGAAACAGTCCAGGTTCAAATCTTTTAAGGAGCAAATAACTAGAGAAGAAAGGAGCCGCACGAGATTGGTAAGACTTATACAAAAGCCTCCACATTAGAAGTATCTAGTTATTGCAATTCCTCCACTTCCCAACAGGGGAAACAATCTCACAGAAACGCTTTAGCTGGAAATAATAAAACAAGACAAATGTCCCAAGATGGAGCTCAGAAATAAATAGCTCAGAAATACATAGCACAGTTCTTGGGACCTAGAAATAAAATAAAATCTTATTAATTACAAGCTGCTCTTTTGTCTTATAGTTATATGAACTCTTAAAAAAGAGCCAGAATAAGACAATACATAAAAATAGTCAGAAAGACAAACCACCTCACCAGCCCCC